CTGTATGTCAAATGCTCTGATTGGTCAATAAATAAAATACTGATTGGCCAGTGGCCAGGCAGGAAGTATAGGTGGGACTAACAGGAGAATTGAGGGAACAGGAAGTGGAAGGCTGAGTGAAGGGGTCACTGCCAGCCACCACCATGACAAGCAGCATGTGAAGATGCAGGTAGCCATGAGCCACGTGGCAAGGTATAGATTTATGGAAATGGATTAATTTAAGATATAAGAACAGTTAGTAAGAAGCCTGCCATGGCCATACAGTTTGTAAGCAATATAAGTCTCTGTGTTTACTTGGTTGGGTCTGAGCTGCTGCGGGATTGGCATGTTAGAGAGATTTGTCCTGACTGTGGGCCAGGCAGGACCAGAAAAACTCTAGCTACATGTATGAAAACATAAATATATTAATACAGAAGAAAAAGACCACTCAGATTAACAGAGTAGCCTAATATTGGATGATTTTCAATTTTATAGGTATTATATGATGGACCTTTATCATTTATTTTTAAATGTTAGGACAGAAGTTAATAAATTTAGAATCCCATATTTAATAGCTCAAACTTTGTATGATTCCAAAAGAATCGACCAAATTTCATAAAATATTTATAATCTTCATGGCTATTGTCTATTAATCACCTTGAAAAATACAGCTGGCACTTGGTTTGAATTGATAAGAGATACATTTTAAAGAATAAGTATTCCACTTTAACCCTCATTAGATAGGCCATGTCTGGTCTAAACTGGGACACTTGGGGGGTCGACAACGCTGTCCAACTTTTATCACTAAAATGCCCAGTGTGCTTGTTTTAAGTCATCACTTACACAAGCCACTTTTCCTTGGAATTTCTCTAAATCTTTATTGGTTCGCTCCTGTCTTTTATCATGGAACATATAAGATACACACAGACGACATAGAGAGACCAGCACAGTAACTCCCAGGTACCTCTCAACCACGCCATCAACTACTCATACCTAACCTTGCATCATTCTCCACTGCACTCCTACCAGACTATTTTAAAACAAATCTCAGAATGCCTGTAATTTTATCTTGTAAATATTCTAAAGATCATGACTATGTTTTGTAATAACACCACAGTATCATAATCACACTTTCAAGATTAACTGTAATTCCTCAGTATCAAATGTCCATCCCATCTGTTAAAATCCCTTCCTTGTTCCCTAAGTGTCTGTCAACAGCTTGCTCAGATTCCAAGCCCCCCACCTCCTCACACCTTCACTCTCTTCAAATTTGCTTATCAAAGAAACAAGGTGGTTTTTCTCGCAAAGTCCCCATGTTTTGGTTGTCACCAACTGCATTCTTATATTTTTTAACCCTCTTTTCCTATAAATGGATAGATTTAGAGACTTGATTACATTTGTTCTGTTTTTCACCAAGTGAACAAGTCTTATTACTTAGTAGAGCAGTTTAGACCTGTTTCTACTAGTTAAACAATAATGCACTTTTAAAGAATTAGATTTATTTATTCTGTCTTATGTGTATAAGTACTTTTGGCTAAATGTATGTATTTGCATCACATGTGTGCCTGGTGCCCACAGAGGTTGAAAAAGGTTGTTAATCCTCTGGAACTGGAGTTATGGGTGGATGTGTCTCACCAAGTGGGCTCTAAGGACTTAACCTGGGTCCTCTGCAAGAGCAACAAGTGCTCTTACCTGAGGCAGCTCTCCTGCCCCAAAAGATCTTTGTTTCTTAATTAAAAATTAAATTTTCATAAATATATTTTCATGTAGCAAGTTGTTGGACTATCTTTGGGCCACCAGCTCACAAATAATGACCTGGAGACTTATTACTAATTATGAAAGCTTGGCCTTGGTTTAGGCTTTCCCCAAGTAGCTCTTATAACTTAATTAACCCATATTTTTTAATCTACGTTCTGCCACGTGGCTTGGTTAACTCTTCTTAGTATTGCACATCCAACTTGCTCCAAGTCCGCTGGTGAAATTTCACACCTAGATTCCTCCTCCCAGTTTCTCTGTGCCTGGAAGTCCTACCTATATCTTCTGCCCAGCTGTTTTATTACACCAGCCACAGCAGTACTTCTTCACACAGTGTGCAAATATCTCACAACATTTTCCCCTCCCTCAACTCCTCCCAGATCCTCCCCACTCCCCTACCCACTAAACTTTTGTCTCTCTCTCTCTCCCTCCATCCCTCTTAAAAGAAAAACAAACAAACAAACAAACAAAAAAAAAAAAACAAAAACCAAACCAGAATTATTTTATTTTTATTTGACGTGAATTGGTGTTTCACCTGCATTTATATCTGTATGAGGGTGTCAGATCCCCTGTAACTGGAGTTACAATTTTAAGCTTCCATATTGGTGCTGGGAATTGAACCCAGTTCCTCTGAAAGAGCAGTCAGTACTTTTAACAGCTGACTCATCTCTCCAGTCCCATAAATCTTTTTTTAATATCAGAGTATCATTTTGTTTTGTCTTCTTTTATGTCAATATGAAATAATTTGCATTTTCTCGGCACCTGTCCTGGTCTCTCACAAGATCTTCCTGCCTGTCTGGAGGGTGGTCACCAACCTCCAGGTTTGGCTTGAGAGCTCCTTGCATACACTCAGCAGTCCAGTGGGTGTGGTTTGTCAAGAGGCGCTCTACCTCATCTCAGCTTCTCCAAATAATTCATTTTTCTTTTGTATTTCTACCCTGTCATCTTACCTCACTCTGTGTTAGTATAAATCTCATTCATAGTCTCAAGTTTTTCACAGTTATTGGTTATGATGGTTAGGGATTTTTAAGAGTTATTTTTGTTTTAGTTTTTTGGCTATATATTTATGTATTTGGTGGAGGGTGAGTGTGCCATGACGTGTGTGGAGATCAGCAGACAGCCTGTGGGAGCTTCCCTCTCTTCCCACCGTGTGTGTCCTGCCATCAAACTCAGGTCATCAGGCGAGTTGGTGCTTTTACCCACTAAAGCCACCTCACCAACCCTATTTTTGTCACTTCTTAGTTAGGTGTTTATGTGCCCAAGGAGGTCAGAAGAGGGCTGGATTACCACTTGAGTCACAGGCAGTCGTAAACCGCTGGACGTGTGTGCTGGGAACAAGACGTGTAGGCTCTTGACTACTAAGCCATCTCTATGGTAAGGATGGATAGTTTTAATTGTCAACTGGACACGACCTGGAATCGGAGAAGAGAGTCTTAGTGAGGGATTGTAGCTCCTCCGTTTGGTCTTTGAGTGTGTCTGTGAGGGATTATCTTGATTGCCTTAGTTGATATGAGAAGAACTATTCTGAAAGTAGATAGCACCATTCCTTGGTTTGGGGTACTGGACTGTGTAAGAGTAAAGGAAAACTAGTTTTGCCTTCAGCATGTGCGTAGTCATTTCTCTCGGCTCTTTTTAAAATTTAAAATCTTTAGGTTTATTTATTTATTTATTTATTTATTTATTTATTTATTTATTTATTTATTTATTTATTTATTTTTGCGGGTCAGGGGGTTTGTGTGGAAATCAGAAAACTTGTAGGACTAGATTCTTTCCTTCTACGATGCGGGTCCCAGCGGTGGAGTTAGGGTCATGAGACTTGGCAGTAAGTGCCTTTACCTGCTGAGCTGCTTGCTTGTTAGCCCTGTCTCCGCTCTTGACTCCAGATGTGATGGACCAGGTGCTTTAGCCTCCCGCTGCCTGACCCCTCCTCGGTGATGAACTATACCCTGGAATTATGAGTTAAAATGAATCCTTTCTCTTACAAGTTGCCTTTTGTCAGAGTATTTTATCTCAGCAACAGAAGTGAAACTAGAACCTTGGCCTGCTGACTGTTCCCCCAGTCATGGGATTCCTTTTACAGCTTAGCACTGTTTTCTGTGCTCTCTGCTAGTAATCTCTTGAGTCACAGGTTTTATTCTGAGGGACAACAGTCCTGGTGCGTGGCCCATAGTCTCCTCACCACCTCTGTCGTTATCTTTATTACTGCAGCCTATTTCTGGAGCGAGCCAGCGACAGCTGTAGGCTACATTTAACTCACACAGCTGAGGCTCACAAAGTCTGCTTCACGCTATGCACCTGGTCCTGCCTGGTACCAATGGCAGCCACAGAGTCAAAGTGGCTTGAGCATCTCTGGGAGACTCAGGGTGGTCCAGGTTCTTTTTTAGAAACTGAAGATTCAGACTATGTGTAGTGGCGACTCCTGCATGCTTATTGTATGGCTAGCTCCCTGCCTGTGGCTCAGATCCCTGACGGCCTTAAAAGGAGAGGACTTGAGAAATGTCCCACTGAGTCAGCATGCTGCAGAAGCCAGCATCTTGTCCTGGAACATGAAGCTAAGGGAGCACAACCAGGTGGGCTTAGGAGCCTGGGAGAGCCTCAGCTGTGGTTAAGATATGAGGCTAGAACACACAAGCAAAGGTAACACCCCAGAAAACCGGTGTTCAGCCCTGTGGCTGGCTGTCTTGGCTAGGACTTTCTCTTCAGACTTGTGATCACCACGGCCAGGGTCTGAAGTGGCTCTGATGTCCACTTTTGCCGCACTGTGGAGTTCCATGTTTCTCTGAGTCATGGATACTGTTAAACTTAGATTTTTATGACCCACCTTTGAATTGGTGCTATTTTTTGGTTGGGAACTGCAGAAGACACTCTATTGCTGGGTCACCAGCTAAGGAGGAAGGTCAACTGGTTGCTTCTCAGCCTCTCTGAGCGAGCAGGTTTTCACCCCAGTACCTGACTCCCGAGTCTTTATTGGTAAAATAGCATGATAAGGACTTAGTTAAAAACTACATTTGGCTGCAGAGGCAGAGGCGGTTTTAGCCGAATACAAAACTCCTGCGGGGCCTCGGCCCAAGCAGTGGGGCAGTGATTTGCAGTAGCTGAGACAGCAGTAGATTCAGGTGCAGCCGCTGTGCTGACAATAAAACAGCAGCAAGATGCTATCTTAATGATGATAATAATAATAATAATAATAATGATAAATTAATTCAATTTTTTGTGTATGACTTAAACTAAGACTGATCATCATAAAATGTCTGATTCTTGAAGAATGCTTTTTTATTTTTTTATTTTTGGTGGGAAAAGTCTTTTAAATATACTACAGGACTGAGTTGGACAAACTGACTTTGGGCAGTGTGTTGGCTAGGTCAACTTGACACAGGCTGAAGTCATCAGAGGGAACCTCAACTAAGAAAACACATCCATAAGACTGGGCTGTAGGCAAACCCACAAGACATTTTCTAAGTTTGTGATTGATGGGTAGGGCCCAGTCCATTGTGGGTGGTGCCATTACTGGGCTGGAGGTCCTGATTTCTATTTACAAAAAAGAGGCTGAGAAAGCCACGAGGAGAAGGCAGTAAGCAGCTCCCCTCCATGACCTCTGCATCAGTCCCTGACTCCAGGTTCCTGTCCTGACTTCCTCAACTGATGAACAGTGATGTGGAAGTGTGAGTCAAATAACCCTTTCCGCCCCAAGTTGCTTTGGTTGTAGTTTTTCATCACAGCAATAGAAACCCTAACTAAGGCAGGCAGGGAACTGTTCCTAATCACCCCACACTCTGTACAGGCCTTCCTAAGGTGGACCTAAGGTAGATGTACAATGCCCAAATAATGCATTATCAGGCACTTCTCCTGGACCAGCCCCATTTCCAATTCTTGTAAAACCTCAGCCATCAGCCCAGCCAGCATACTGCCAGACAGTCACCCAGCAGAGCTTTTCCAAGACAGCAGTCAAGTTAGGGTCATCAGATTCCACTGACCAGATTCGGGGCACAGCAAGGTATGTGACATTGCCTTGGATGCTGATGAGGCCCCCTGGAACCAACCACCATGAACAGAGATGCAGTCCTGGTGTTGTCCTGGTCTGCACACTCCAGCTCCAGCCTGCAGGACTGGCAATGCAGAAGCTGCAATAAAAGATGGACTGCAGCAGCTTCAGGTCCCCCCTCAGGCAGGGTTCTGGTCCTGGCTGCTGATTCCCCTGTGGCAGGGGCTGCTGCACCTCTACTTCTTTCTGGGGCTCGTGGGCCAGGAGCCTCTGGCCTCTGCTCCAGGCTCCAACTCCAGTAGAGTCCGTCCAAATTTCCTGAAAGTGACATGTTCCAATCTGTGAGACCTGAAGAGGAACTGTATGGGAGCAGTTTTGTTCAAGATGAAATCAGGAATGCTGGGGCCTCAGTTGTCACCTTGGACAGGGTGTTGTGGGCCCAGTTCCTCAGCTGAGGGACTCTAGCACAAAGGGCTGAGCTTCTGGGGTTAACTCAGGCATTTCACTGGGGAAAGGGCAAAACCATCACTGTGTATACAGGGGTATGCATTTGCCATGGTGCATGTCCATCATGCTCTCCTAGAGTCCATATGGCTGCCAGGAGAGGAAGCCATTGTCTACTGCAAAGGGTATCAAAAGGGAAATCCTCAGAGGCCCAAGGGAATAGAGCAGCAGACTTGGCCACCCAGAAGGTAGACCTAGAACTGGTGAAGCCTCTCCAAAACTTGAATTGCCCTGGAACTCAACCTATACACAAACCAAGTGGACAAAAAGTGAAAATGCCAAACAGGATGCCAAACTGTGTCTGTGGTCTTTTCTGCTAGGTACCTCACAATGTTCTTTTCCAGTGTACAAAGGACTCTACTTATCTGGTTATTTATTCAATATATGAATGAAGACATGACTAGTGGATTAATGGGTGGGAAGTAGCCATAGCAGGTGAGGAATTGTGGGTTGAAAGCATGGGCCTGAGTGCATCCCAAGGACGAGATGAACAGCAAAGACCCTGGGTTCAGCAGACAAGACTTCAGAGTGAGAGCTATAATGAGCAGTAGGGGACACGTCACCTGTCCTGTGCCATCCCCTTGGTCTGAGTCATGGTTCTATTGCTGTGAAGAGATACCATGACCAAGGCAAGGTATCTCTTATAAAAGAAAGCATTTAATTGGGTTTTGCTTACAGTTTCAGAGGTTTAGTCTATTATCATCACGGTGGAAAGTATGGCCACATACAGGCAGACATGGTGCTGGAGAAGAAGCTAAGAGCTCTACATCTGGGTCTGCAGGCAGCAGGAAGAGGGGACACTGGACCTGGCTTGAGCTTTTGGAAACCCAAAGCCCATTCCCCAGTGACACACCTTCTCCAACGAGGCCACACCTCCTAATCCCTCTCAAATAGAGCCAGTCCCTAAAGACTAAGCATTCAAATATGTGAGTCTATGGGGGTTGTTCCTATTCATAATGCAAAAATTCATTCAGGCCAACTTCAAAAGTCCCCATAGTCTATTAACAGTCTCAACATTGTCATAAAGTCCAAAGTCTCTTCTGAGACTCATGGCAGCCTCTTAACTGTAATCCCCTGTTTAAAAAAACAAACAAGACAAAACAAACAAACAAACAAAAAACAAAAAACCAAAAAAGCAGATCACATACTTCCAACATACAATACACAGAATACACATTACCGTTCCAAAATGGAGGAAGGGGAGCATAGTGAGGAAATACTAGACCAAAGCAAGACTAAAAACAACAGAGCAAACTACAAACTCTGCATCTCCTTGTCTGATGTCAAAGCACTCTTTAGATCTCTAACTCCTTTCAGTTTTGCTGACTGCAGCACACTTGTCTCTCTTGGGCTGATTCCACACCCTGTTTTTACCTCTTCTTGGCAGGTATCCCATGACTCTGGCATCTCCAACATCTTGGGGTATCCAACACAATCCAGGCTTCACCTTCACATCTTCACACAATGGTCCCTCTGGGCCTCCATTCAGGGACACTCCTGACACATGCCTGACCTCAGTGGCTTTTCTTAGCTGAGAAAGGAGATTCTATAAACCCTTTCTTGTATCCTTGACTTTAAAAGAAAAACCACATGGTCAAAGTTGCCAAGTTATTCTGCTTGATGGGACTGAAACCTGGACCCCTCATTCAATTATTTGTGATTTGGCCTTCTGTTTTCTGTGGATTCCTTCACTACTTAAGCTTTTCTTTAATTCCTTCCACAAATTGGAAGCTTAGCTGGGTGAAATTTTGCTCTGAGGTCACCACTCCCTTTGTTACATTTAGCATCAGGCTTGATTTAATCTGTTTATCTCCTTGAATGCAGGACTTAGCTCCATTACACTTCCTGGTGCTGCTGGTGCTCCTCTTCTCCTCAAACTATACAATTTATATTTTTCCTTGCTCAGCTTTCTCCTTTTCAGTATAGATCTTCATAAGAGTGACCACTAGTAACCACATGACAGAGTCAAAACTAAGCTGTCTTGAAATCTCCTCTGCCAACACTATTAATCCAAAACTCTTCAATTTACCCTCAGGCAGATATTTGGGGCAAGGGCAGAAAGCACATTCTTCACCAAAATATCACAAGAATGGTCTCTAGGCCACTTACTAATATTCTTCTCCTCTGAAAACTCCTGAGCTGGGCTGTCTGTATCTACATTGCTCTCTAAGCACCACTGTCTTCCATTCTCCCACCAGTATGGCCCATTAAGCCCTGCTGAAAGCATTCAACTGTTTTCCTAATCCAAAGCTCCAAAGTGCACATTCTGCCAACAATCAGCACTGTCAGGCCTGTCACAGCAATACTCCACCCTCTGGTACCAACTTCTGTCTTAGTGTTCTGTTGTTGTGAAGAGACACCATGATCATGGCAATTCTTATAAAAGAAAGCATTTAATTGGGGCTTACTTACAGTTTCAGAGGTTTAATCCATTATCATCATGCCAGGAAGTACAGTCTTACTCAGGCAGACATGGTGCTGGAGAAGTGGCTGAGAGTTCTACACCCAGATCTGCAATCATCAGGAAGAGAGACCCTGGTTCTGGCTTAAGCTTTTGAAACCTCCAGCAAGGCCACAGCTCCTAATCCTTTTAAATAGTGCCACTTCCTCATTACTAAGCATTCAAATATATGAGCCTATGGGGGCATTCTTATTCAAATTACTACACCCTCCAACAGTGCATGTGTCCTCTGTATGGGCAGCTGAAGTCTACTTTCTATAGGAAGCTTGGTAGGAAGGGGAGGAATAAAGCCTCAGGCTGTACCACAAAAGTCAGGAAGCTGGCAGATATTGCAAGTATAAGCCAGGGGTCTGAGGTTTGTGGTTTTGATTGACACTCAGTAGATGTTCTGATTCTACTGGAAGAAGAGGTGATAACTGAAGCTGGACTCCAATGGAGAGCTTAGGGGTACACATGGAGAGGTGGCTCAAGACAGGTAAGTAGGATGAAATGCTTCCAAACAAATCCAAGATATATTACATTCACACCCTCTGGGTTCACACCCTCCACTAGTATCCTTGCCTTCCTGTCTTTCCCAAAGTGCAGAAGCAAAGCAGCTACAATGGTCTAGGGCCAGCATAGATAGGGCTGGGGATGTTGCCCAGATTTACAACTTGAGATTGGAGGGTCCCATGAGTCCCAAGGCTAGCTCCATTGTCCTGGACACTATAGTCTACCTGTCCCCTCTGAGGTTTCCGTCACTCCTTTGTGGGTGATACACCCTTCCTGTCATAAACAGAATAGAGGTCAGAGTAGCCAGTATAGTCAACAGTCAAGAAGGAGGGTTGGAATAAGGCCTGGGCCAACTGAACCCAGCACCAAGCTGAATGGCAGCCCAAGGCTCCTTCAAGAAATGGGAAAGGGCTGCAAGACTTTCTCCAGAACCTGGATCCCTTTATTTCTGGAGGGCAGTGGTGACTGACCCACCACTGTGGTGCTTGTGGGCACAATGTGGTGGATTCACATGTTGGAAAGTCTGCTCTATGCACATGATCTCTTACAGTTTTCATAGCACTCTTTTGAGATAAGTTTGCAATTTATTACCCTTTAAACTAAGTTAAGGGACCCTGAAACTCATTCTTTCACGCCTTACTTTTAGATGGCTGCACTAGACATTCATTGCTGTCCATGATAGTAAACACAAGTGCTCTGATAGTAAACACAAGTGCTCTGAGCAGGAATGCATGGCTTTCCACATCAGAAAGAACTCTACTCACAGGCTCTCTATCTGGAAGGGACAAGATCATGACTATGCAGATGCACAGTAGGTCTTGCCTGGAACTGATAAGTGACCTGCACTCACCTTACCTTTGACCCAAGTGTCCCCGAGGAGGAAGTTTACCCACATGGTGATCAACAGCAGTTTAATGACATCAAAGACACAGCCAGAGACAACAGCTCAAATCACAATTCTGAGTTGGAGCCTGGCCTTTGTCAGGCAAGTGGGTCTTACTGTTTTCTTTCTTTCTCCCTTTCTCCCTTTCTCCCTTTCTCTCTCTCTCTCTCTCTCTCTCTCTCTCTCTCTCTCTCTCTCTC